GTATCTGTATCTGTATCTGTATCTGTATCTGTATCTGTATCTGTATCTGTATTCTCATTATACACTAATACCAAAAACATGCACGAAGCACTCATTGCCACTGGCATATGCAAAATAAGCACCATGACAAGAAGAAGCATCAGAAGGAAGTTGACTTTAGCGTCCGGTTGATGTGACGTTGGCGGTAACTCAATATTTAAGCACTTATACGTTAATTTTGGCACAAATTGAATTAATAAACCATGTTGGACATTGTGTGCGGTCTCCTGTTACAGCATTCTCTGATGTCGCTCCACAGCACTCCGCCGAGAACGAGCTCCTGCTCCTCCTTTTCATAATTCATTAATTTATGCACGGAACGCGGCTCAATGAACCACAAGCGCAGCACTGACCAAGAGATTGGCAAAACGAACCACCGAGCCGCCTCGATCGCCCCGAAAACAGAATTTGAATTTACAAGCACGTAACGTTGACCCGTCCGCCCGTTCGCCCCTCCCCATTCACTGCCCACTGTCGCTGCCACAGCCGCTGCCGCCTCTTACGTGATTGGCTTACATTTGGCGCTGCTGTTGGGCTCCTTTTGGTGCTTCGACGATATTCGTCGCTCGGTTGTAAATTAGAACATGCTAAATGTAGTACCGAAATTGCGACCCAGCGGGACCCGTGACGAGTCTGAAATAATTGTTGTTGTTGCTGCGCATGTTGCTGTTCCGCGCTATAACCCACGGCAAGTGGGCAAGCACACACACTCACACAAACACACACAAAAAGAGAGTGTGTATGAGTGTGTAAGGTGTATGTCTTTGGTAGTTTAAGGTGCGTAAATATGATTTTCATTTACACCTTTGCTGGCCTCTTGGTACGCCAAATGCTGCAAGGGATGCGTTTGAAGTAGCCGATGCGATTTTCGAATTCCACAAGAGACGAATCCCGGCATCGACTAAGTAAGCTTCGAGAGTGAGAGTTTCGATATTAAAGCTTTTATGTTCCGCCAAGCTGGGTAAGCTAGAGAGGTAGAGCGCCAGAGAAAGAATGGGACTAAGAGGGAGCTTGGATTAAGCTTATATATACATACTGAAGGAATAATAATATATACATATGTATCTAAAGCTATGAAAAATCATCAGCAATCCTATTTGTTCAATTACCTATATTTTATTTACTAAATAGTATCGAAATT